ATTAGTGCAAGCAGTTTGAGCTGGCAGTGCCTCGGACCACGTTCTGCGCCCTCCCCTTGGCCTCTGGGGGACGTGAAATGCCCGTGCCTTCTTCCTCCCTCCCCTGCAAGTTATGTTATCAGCTGCCTGTCTCCGCCTGAGTTGTCTTGACTGCTTTCCAGAGGGCAGGTGAGCAGGTGATGAAGAGGATCGTGACTCCCTGTTGTCTGAAATCCCACTCTTAATTTGCATCGCTGTTGCTGGGAAGGAGCGTCCATGCCAGTGCAGCGCACTCCAGCGCTTTGTCTGTCCCTAAAGCTGCCTGGTAGCAACTCTGGCGTTGGGTCCGGTTGCTGTGGCAACGAGAACCTCCCTCTCCAGACACCAGCAAGATTTCTCTCCAAAATGGACTTTGTTGCAGCAATTGCATCCTTTGTCACTTGGAGACTGGCTCGCTCTATTGTGCCCTGCGTGGGACCGCTCCAAAGCTGTGGCTAGGGCAACGTGCTGCCCCCATTTCTCAGGCTGGGTGCACGTTAGTCTGGCTCTCGATGATCCGCAGTGGTTGCTGATAAACTTCTGGCTGGCATTTAAGGTGCTGGTTTTAGCCCCTCAGACTGGAAGTGCTGCGAGTCCCGATTACTGCAACGTGGCCTCCCTCCCTGCAACCTGCAGCTGAGGTTGTCGAGGGGGTGGGCGCGTGGCGTGAACGCGCTGCTGCTCCAGTATTTCTGGGAAAGGTCCCAGGAGAGGTCAGATTTGGTGATCTCCCGAGCAGGCTGCAACGCCCATCCTCCCTCTGCTTTTGTCACGGGTTGAGATGAATATACTTTATGAGCAGTTGATTGATCATGAGTGACTTACGATTTATGCAAGTCATTTGTATGATTTAGATACCAGTGGAGCTGGGATGGGGTCCCCAGAGACCCTGCAACTGAATGGGGGTCTCTGGCTATTGCTGAGGGGACAAGGAGAGGCAGCTCTGAGTTTTGAGACAGTCAGATAAAAAGTCCAAGAGGAATCGGAGGTCAGCCCAGCATTTTAGCCTATTCTCTACACGTGCCAGTTCCTGTTGCTTACAGAACAGACCTAAGATCCTATACGTAACCTATGATACATGACTACCTGTTCCCAAGGATCTTACCGAGACCAGTCGTGAACCAGTAGTGGCTCTTTTCTCCTGCTGGTTCTGCGCAGGTTGCTTTCTGCAAGTAGGGACCATTACTTTCCTTGCTGTTGTAATCTATAACTACCATGTCTGCTTGCATGCATGGCATACCCTTTGTCCAGAAATTAGCCATCCAGAATTGAGGTGCCTGTTTTAAGTGAGGAAGCTGTTTTCCGAGCAGGAATGGCCGAGTGGGGATGTTGGAATAGCTGCCGGGGGTGGGGGGGGTGCTTTAGCCCTCTCACAGTTGCTATCCAATTCACCTGTAGCTTTGGGCTGAGCAGTAAGAGGAGAGCAAGTGATGCTAGTGAGCAGACACTGTCCCTGCTCCGTGTGGTCAGTATCCAGCCGTGACTCTGGAAAGGTCTTTTTTTTTCCCCATCTTTCTACCATCTCAAAACAAGCTGAGCATCTTATTTAGGAGCATGTGGTATACAAGGAAATGTGTTATATTGTGACTTAGCTCTATACTTGGTTAAGGATCTTTTGGCCTTTTGCCATGGCTTTTATTTCAAATGAGAACTTAATGATATTTCACATTTAAGGGATGGAAACCAAAGCGTTCCACTCAGTGATGTCGTTTGTGTAATCTGCTTACATATAACATGCAATATATCTCTTCGCTGCTAGGATGTTAGATTGAGTGTGTCATTGTAACAGACAACCTGAGGCAAGTTACTGGTAATCAAGGCTTAAAAACCATCCTTCAGACCCAGGAAATGTTGGAGTTTCCATTTGGGAACTTCTGCTATAAAAGCGTGGGGTCTACAGCATGACCTTGAAAGTTCAGGATTGTTGCAGGGAATCAGATCTGTTCACATACTAATTGTAAGGTATGATTTACCAGCCAGCATTTTTCTCTCTGGCTATGGTGTGGTAGTTCAAGGATTATTTTCCTTTCTTCTATATTCACCAAAAAAATCAGACCCTTTTTTATCTCGTAACAGTTATTTCAACATGTTTAGGGTTGATATAAAACTTACTGTAGTCCCTTCTTCAGTTTGATATGGCGTGGAGCTTCCCATCTTGCCCCTCTGTTTCTCTGGTGTGCAAGCTTTGGGGATTTTTTTCCCCTCAAATGGTTAATTTTGTAAATTGAGCCTGAGTATTTTGGTGGGATTTGAGCATCAAACACCAGCTTTATGATAAGTAAAACAAAAATGTAATGCATTTCCTATTTTAATATCCCCCTCACCTTTTGTTTGGTAGCTGTTCCCATGGATTCCCTCTTCCATTTCCTAGCACCTAACTAAAGAGACTCTGCAAAGTGGTAGGGCATCACAGAGCCAAGTCCAGACCTGCTCAGGTAGGTGGCATCTTCATGTCCTCTCAGGACCAAAATCATGGGTGTAATCTATAAATTACTACTTGCATTTCTTTAGTACTTAGTGGGTGTACAAAACAAGTGTGTGTTACACATTAGGAAGTATAATATGTTACTGCTTACACCCATCTATTGGCCAACTTTTACCACTGCTGAATTTGGTCCTGAGATCGTTGTAGGAGATGTCCCTTTTGTGCTAAAGCCAGATTCTGATTTCATTTATACTGCCTGTGGCGCACAGTTTTTAGCCTCCTGAGGAATGAAATGGTTTAAGCTATCTAAAGTCTTTAGGCTTACTCTAAAGGGGCATCAGAGTGAAATGTAATGGCCTGTGATATACAGTAGGTCAGATTCGGGTGGACTAATGGCACCTTCTGGTTTTGAACTTGATGATGGTGGGGTTCAGTCTGGTATGGTGTGAGGTCCCATGTTCTGAGAGACATGTGAAAGGGATAGGGAGAGGGAATGATCCATAAAAAGACTCCCATTAATATCACTGTGCTCTGATCGGGCCCAAGATCTGAATGTCTCATTGCCTGCAGTACTAGAATTGGCAGTGCGGGAGGAGATGCGTGGAGTAGGAAGTACAATAGAGAGAAAAATATATTGACATATGAACAGGGTTGTTGGTTATAGCCATGTTGGTCTAAGGACACAGGCAGACAAGTTTCTTTGGGTAGATGTGAGATCTTTTATTGGACCAATGAAGTCCAATAAAAAAATGTTCTTTGCAAGCTTTTGGGAACAAACACCCTTCTTCAGGCATTGGGAGAGTTTGCTGGTGAATTGTGTGCTCTCCTGGGTAAAATTGAAGCCAACCTATTCTAGTCTACCCAGAAGAGCACACAAACACCAGCAGACTCTTTCTCTGCCTGAAGAAGGGTGTTTGTGCCTGAAATTTTGCAAAGAAAAATTTTTCCAACTATTTCGTTGGTCCAATAAAAGATATCACATCTACCCAAAGAACCTTGTCTCTCGATGTATGAACAGGTTACTCCTACCTCACAAACTTAAATCTTTTGTGTGAGACATAAGTCATAACAGTCTCTGGCCAGTCAAGATCCCACAGTCATTTTCATGAATAAGGGTATTCATTTTGATGTCCTTGCCAAATTCCAGCACTGCTCATTATATTCATTTACTAAAGTTGGCTCGTGATTTCACGTTGGATTCAGCATTCGTCTTTTTTCAGGTCTAGACTATTGTGCGGTTTTGTATTTCATGCCTAAGCAATTGGTGTGCTTTGCCTTACAGTCCATTAGTGGCAGATGAGAGACATTGGGTGCATCTACACAACCAATCAAAGCGATGAAATAAATTCCCTTGTAGTTTGTGTCGGAGTCAGCCGCTCTCAGGTGCATGTTTTACACGGGTGCTCAGGACTTCAGCGGTTAGAGCCAGGGCAGAGCAGCCCTAGGCTGGCAGCAGGCTCTTGGGGTGAGGGTTAGGGGGTCAGCTGGGTGGTGGCATTGGGCAGCGGAGGGGCTAGTTGGCAGGCAGCCCCCACACTTTAGCACACCAAGATCACCCAACACTTGTGCCCCACCCAGCCCCTGTCACAGTCTGCGTGTGCGTTTGATCACATGTAAGTACTTCACCGTAAAATAGTACTGCTCTCTTAGGGTGGAGTTAATTTATCTGCATGTAGACTGCATGTGTAGACTGTGATGCTTTGCTGCGGAGCTAATTACAGTAAAAGTTCTGTTAACTGGCATCTTACCAGCTGGCATGCTCAATTAGCCGGCATGCCGGCTTGTAAGATCAAGTGAAAACAGAAGTGCCCACTGTGGCTCTTCCAGTTTCTCCGAGCCCACGTGGCCCAGGGCAAAGCAGCCAGCGCTGCCGAGCCCCCACAGTCCAGGGGCAGAACAGGCTGTGCAGGGCCCACCTCCCTGTCTCATGTGGCCTGCAGGGCTTGTGGGAGGCACAGCGATGTGGTGGGAGGGGCGGTGGGATGCCCCAGATGCAGTGGAGAAGCGGTGGCCCGGGCTGCTCAATTAACCGGCATATTTTGTTATCCAGCATCCCTCATTCCCGGGGGATGCCAGATAACAGAGGTTTTACTGTAGTCGACTCTGCAGTAAGGCGCACATGTAGATGTACCCATTGTGTCTCTCACTGGGTTAGGATGAAAGCACCATCGTCCCTTTGGGTTGAAAACTGCTATGTGTATTTATGCTTAAATTATACCTTATGGTCTCCTTCTCTTTCATCAATTGCACTAAAGTGTTAAGCCACTGAAACATAAGGACTTCATGAAAGTAATCTTACTGTGGCTTAAGATCACCCAACTCTTCCTGGGATTCTTCAATCAGTGAAACAGTATGCCCAGGAAATGCTTACTTTCATGGGTTTCCTATCTTATATCTTTGCGTCTGCTTACCAAGAGCTGTCCAGTTGGCTTATTCAAGCCAGATCTGGAATAGCATTATCTAAAGTTCACACTGAATGTCCGGCAGTCTTTCTTTTTAAAAGCCCTTGTAGACATGACTCATTGATCTTTCTTTCTTTTTTTTTTTCCCTTCCCAGAAGTACACAGCCATTGGGGAGCTAGGAAAAGCTACCGACACATTAGATGCCACAGGAAAAGTAACAGAAGAAAAGCCTTATGGTAACAGTAAATTAATCATCTCTGCTCTAATCTCAGTGCGATAAGTGGTCTCTGTCAGAGTAAAGTGAAGAACAGATTTTGGACTTCAGAAATCAAATTTCATTTCAAATCAAACCACAGATTTATTTCAGCATTAACTTCAGTTTCTATAATCTCCGGAAACTGGGCTCAGCACAATTGTTGATTTTTCATTTTTTAAAGAAATCAGCATCAAAGGAGGAAGGAAAGAAATAGAGGTAGGCCTGGCCATATTTTTTTCCTGTTTGACATGTTCTTTTGTTGCCAGTAAGGTTCTCCCTTTTCATTGCACGGTCCTGCGAGGGACATCTCCTAATGACGTCTTTCCAGACTGAAAGTGATGGAACATGTCAGTTTCCCCTCCCAAAAGTCCTTTTCAGTGTAAACATCTTGATTTTTTTCAGTGGTACAGAGGACTTTTCATACATGTACTTGTAGACTCCCTCTTTTTTTTGCCCCTGAGATGCCACTTTACAATGCAAGTAAATGTATTTCTCTGATACTGAGAGCCTCGAACTAACTAGCAGCTATGTCAGTTCATGCTTCCAGAGTTGGTTAAATGATAGCTTAAAGAAACCACTTCATCTCCTGGTAATATTGCAGGACTGATGGAGGATATACCTAAATGTTTTTGCCATTAATTCTTTCATAACAGAGAAAATAAAGCTCTAGGTAAGTGGTCTCTCAGTAACTCCTACAGGCCTACTTTGTTTATGATGCCAAATAACAGGTAAGAACAACATAGTACCCTTCATTATCACATGATGGAAGAGGTGTATTTGTGTTCCCCTTCCATTTTTCCTACTGCAAACGTAAGGAGATAGGCTGCAAGTTGCCGCAGTTGGAATGAAGCCCTCTTCCAGTTTGAATTGTACTCACAGTGTTGGATACCAGTATCTTTTTGACTCACTCGTGTTGCATGAAGATCTTGCTAATGTAGTTTTTATTTCAGT